AGAACTTGTCTTCCACAGCTATTATTTTTAGTTAGCATGTAGCTAAAATCTAACCATGGTTATATAATAGCAGCTGTATACTGGTGCGATAAGCTGTTTGTTTTATTCAATTAATGTATGATCTGATTAGTCGACTAATCAAAGTAAATAATCGGTGATTAGTCGATTATAAAAATAATACTTTGTGGCAGCCCTAGTCCAGACACAAGTCCAGAATCAAGTCCCAAGTCCAGATTTGAGTCCAGAGTCAAGTCCCAACTCCAGATTCAAGTCCAAAGTCCAGAAATGAGTCCAAAGTCCAGAATTGAGTCCAAAGTCAGGTCCCAAGTCCAGAATCAAGTCCCAAGTCCAGAATCAAGTCCAAAGTCCAGAATCAAGTCCAAAGTCCAGAATTGAGTCCAGAGTCATGTCCCAAGTCCAGAATCAAGTCCAGAGTCAAGTATAAAGTCCAGAGTCAAGTATAAAGTCCAGATTTGAGTCCAGAGTCAGGTCCCAAATCAAGAATCAAGTCCCAAGTCCAGATTCAAGTCCACAGTCAAATATCAAGTCCAGATTCAAGTCCAGAGTCAGGTACCAAGTCCAGATTCGAGTCCAGAGTAAAGTACCAAGTCCAGAGTCAAGTCCAGAGTCAAGTACCAAGTCCAGATTCGAGTCCANTAACATTTTCTACATATACGTCAAATTAATCACTGCAATAAATAATTTTGTTTTTGTCACTTTGAAATTTGCAAAAAAATAAATTAAGCACATCAAAGCTGATTTTAGTAGAAGCAAGTTATAAAAAAGCAAAAACAGAAAAAAGGGTCAAAAGCAGAGCTTCTCAACTAGCTAATTAAAACTTTGTACTTCCTTCTGCTTCATCTGCTAATTTAAGCTGTTCTCTGCCGTTTAAGTTACTTTTAGCTGATTTACCTGTCTCTGACAGGTCGTCCTCCAGGGTTATTTGCACGACTGGCAGCGGTGGGTGCAGCTCTGCTAATCCGCTAATAGCGGAACTAGCTTCTCGTTTAGCAGGTTAGCTTTTTTGCTAGCGGAAACAAGTTGAAAAATAGCTGAAAACAGCTCAAACTAGCCTAAAATTAGCACTTCGAAGCTGATTTTAGCAGAACGAAGTTATAAAAAAGCAGAAACAGAAAAGTAAATCTTTACCGTTAAAGATTTAAAAACATTTTTGGGATTTTAAGGATGTTAAAAGACAGCTCCGTTCATTTTTAATGAGAAAAAAATGACAGAAGAAGCAATTATCTCAAAAAATATATAAAGTGTTGAAATAGCAAAAGTCATAGCAGGGAAGTAATGAAGGAGCTGAACGTTTTGATTTATAAGTTGTTTTAAAAAAAACAAACAAATTTGCAGTTAAGCGTGTCGAAAAACATACGGAAGATTAATAAATATCTCCATGTGAMCGCTTCATAAGCATAATACTATATGCAAATCAGTCGGTTCCTACAGAGTTTTTGTACCATTTAGTATTATTTATGTACTTTTTTAAAATAAGTACTTTGAGCAGGTTAGAGGTTAGAACGGACGTTTCTATCTTTTTAACATCTGATTGCTTACATGAACGATAAATCATGCAAGCTGCTCTTTCTGCTCCTCCCTTCAATCCTCTCTCTCTCACACACACAAACACACACACTTCATGCTATTTATCAAACTTTAAGGTGACACCCCACAGCTCGTCAGAGTCAGGCAGGTCACAGCTGGACTTGTTGCCTGACTCGTCATGAACAGCAGACGTAACACCAAACACGCAGGAGGTGAGCTGACTTGAAGTCTAAAAAAATCATCCTG